TTGCTTGTGTTGAGTACTGGAAGTTTTCCAACTTATGATGGATATACAACTAAGATAATTTTTCAGTGCAGTGTGCTAGAAAAAAGAAGCAGACGTCAAATAATTAGAGACATTATTGTCCTGTCATTTATGTGTCTTTTTCAACACATTACACTGTAAAATACTATGAATTACTTTCCAACGCACCCCACAGCGTTGGAAATTAACTATTTTCTAGGTAGTATTTTTACGGCAATAACTTCCAACATTTAGTGTTGGAAAATAATGTATTTCCAGCACTTTTTATTTACTTTCCAGCACGTTTAGCGCTGGTAAATGATCAATTTTTTTGTAGTGAATTTTTCCTCCTATTTTTAGGTCACGTGATAGCTTATGTGATGATTTATGTGGCATCACACAATAAAATTTTTGGAGTTCTTTCAATTAAATTAATAGAGTTACTTTAGATTAGATAAAATTGAAACAAATTTAAAAGTTAATAGATGAGTTTAAAAGAAATAAAGATTTTAAACTAAAATTTAAAAAATTAATAGTTAATTGATAATTCATTAAATTAAGCCAGAAACAATTTAATACTAACCCATGTCCACCTATAACGACAATTTATGACATGATGACTCAGCGAAAGGCCTTTGTCTGACCAAGTCAACGTTAGATTTGGAGAATTCACACCTTTAAATCTCCATCTTCCTCTGTTTCTGAGGGTCAGGGAATGAAAGTTTGAGACAGGGTTTGAAAAAACAGAGCCTCATTGATTGTTTCCATTTCCGTAGCTTCTCAACTGTATCACTACCTTCAGAATCATCAAAGAAATGGGTCAAGTAAGTTTTGTTTTAAAGACGAAAGATTAATGACTAGACTAGATGCAAAATCAAGATTGTCTGAATCTTAAAGTTGAATACTTTCTTCCTACAACTAGTTAGTTTTGCCATGTTTATCTTTCAAGTCTTCTATGTGCATTATTATTAATTCTTTTTCTCTGTTTCTAGATGTTGATATACAGACCTCTGTGTGCTTTTATTTTTTTCCTAATCTTCTGTGTGGTATTGAAGGAGAACAAAGAAGAGAACAAGGGGCAGGAAAACAAAGAAGAAGAAAAAAAAGAGGAGAT